AATGACTTTATTGGAAAACACATCCTGCACCCAAAATTCTTATTGCTGTCACACTTCTACCAATCAGTATTATGTGGTATTGCAATATATTCACTTTCATGTAAAAAAAAGGTAAAGGACCCCTGGATGGTTAAGTCCAGTCAAAGGCGACTATGGGGTTGCGGCGCTCATCTTACTTTTAGGCTGAGGGAGCTGGCGTTTGTTCACAGACAGCTTTCTACAGTATGGCTAAAGGTAAAGGGACCCCTGACCATTAGGTCCAGTCGTGACCGACTCTGGGGTTGCGGCACTCATCTCGCTTTACTGGCCGACGGAGCGGGCATACATGTCATGTGGCCAACATGACTAAGCCGCTTCTGGCGAACCAGAGCGCACAGAAACAGCGTTTACCTTCCCGCTGGAGCGGTACCTATTTATCTACTTGCACTTTGATGTGCTTTCAAACTGCTAGGTTGGCAGGAGCAAGGACCGAGCAACGGGAGCTCACCCCGTCTCAGGGATTCGAACTGCCAACCTTCTGATCGGCAAGTCCTAGGCTCTGTGGTTTAACCCACAGCGCCACCCGCGTCCCTTGTATGGCTACTGTACTACAAATCTTACAATGCAGTACTTCTTGCCTACATATTCACACGTGAATGTGAAAAATCCAAGGAAAAAAGCTGACCTTAATTTTCAGATCAGCAGATCAGGAATTCACCAGAGTACTTATATATTATGATCAAATTTTGTATGTAGATAAAAAGACAAGGGGTTGATTTGGACATAATGCTAACCATCACTTCCCTTTCTCCTCTCCGGCATGGCTGCGAGGAAGAGTCAAGCCAGGGCCAGACAAGCTATGGTTAATCTTATGCCTAGTGAAAACAAGCCAACTTTATAGTTTATGAAGCGGGATTGTTTGCACTAACTATTGCTTATTTAGGTCTGAATGGCATGGTAGGCTGTGGTTAATCAAAATGGAAGTGAAAGATTCCAATCTCTTCCATGGGGCTGTGCTGGAGAAGTAGAGGGGAACATGTAAACCTAAACGGAAGGAAAACTTATTCTCATAATGCTAAACCATGGTTTACTGCAGTCTCCACCAACATGTCCGCCAGATGTTTTGGACTTCAACTCCCATTAGCCTCAGCCAGCACAGCTGAAAATTGCCACAATTACTACAAATCACAGAGAAATCATCCTAGCTCTGTTCTGTATCTTCACTAACATTTTATCAGGCTACCTCGCCCTCCCTCAGAACACCCTCTTAAACTTTTTTCTTTCATTATCTATATAGGTTATATAAAGTACCTGGTAAATGTTTTAGGATTTCTATAGAATGAATAAACATGGCAGAATATCAGATTAGGAGAAGAAGAGGTGCTTCATGCTTTCATCCCAGATTTTTCAATACCTTTGGGTGTATCAATGTGAAATCTAGAAGTGTTCTAACTATGCTACTTAAGTAGCATTCCTGAAACCCTTCATAGCCTTCCTGACATCACTGGTTGGGTACTCTTATTTTTCTGTTCCCAGAGTTTCATTGAATTTACCCTAAAGTGTACAAAGCAAAGAATCCAAGTATTGCTTCTAATGGCTGTACTTCCTGCATATTTATTATACTACTCCCTAGCTCCCATCTGAGACCACTTTGATTTTACTTATAAAAATGCTTGTCTCCCAGAACGTTGTTTTTTTTCTAAGCAGGGGTGTAATGTAACAAAGTAGACTGATGGATGCATCCCTGCTGTACTCTCCAACATGTAGACCCCATGAGAAACAGAAACATACCCATGTCAGTCTGTTGAAGTGACAAAACTGAGAAGTCTTTTGGCAAGTTATGTTTCAGAACTGTAAACATATAATAATAATAATAATAATAATAATAATAATAATAATAATAATAATAATAATAATAATTTATTTATACCCCACCCATCTGGCTGGGTTTCCCCAGCCACTCTGGGCGGCTTCCAACTGAATATTAAAAACAATACAGCATTAGACATTAAAAACTTCCCTAAAGAGGGCTGCCTTCAGTTGTCTTTTAAAAGTAAAATAGTTGTTTATTGCCTTGACATCTGCTGGGAGGGCGTTCCACAGGGCAGGCGCCACTACCGAGAAGGCCCTCTGCCTGGTTCCCTGTAACCTCACTTCTCGCAATGAGAGAACCAGTGTGAACTTTCAGTTCAAAAAAATTCATCCTTAGAAAACCCATCTCTAGAAAAATGTACCCAACAATGACAGTTGATCAACACGGGAAACACCAGGGGTTGAACTGACTGATAAACTAAAATAACCTGCTTGTTTGACGTCACTCAGTATTGCTTCTCCAACTATATTAGCCATCAACTGGATAACCTCTTCACATATGGTTTTGAATAAGTATAATGGCTGACTAGAACCTTTATGTGAGCACATGGAAAATGACTGAATTTGACAATTAACTCAAGCAATCCAAGAAGTTACCATTTTTTGATGAATCAAATGTTTCATCATCTCCCCTAAGTGCCAAACCACATTCTTTCAAAAGAGAAGTCACTGGAATAACTCACTGAAGTACGTGCCTCCAGTAATCCTGCTCTGCTTTGATTTGATCTTTGAGTTTTGATGTGAGCATTTGACCATAATTTCTTGTTAAGTATGTTAGCATCATACAAGGACGCGGGTGGTGCTGTGGGTAAAACCTCAGTGCCTAGGACTTGCCGATCGCATGGTCAGCGGTTCGAATCCCCGCGGCGGGGTGCGCTCCCATCGTTCGGTCCCAGCGCCTGCCAACCTAGCAGTTCGAAAGCACCCCCGGGTGCAAGTAGATAAATAGGGACCGCTTACCAGCGGGAAGGTAAACGGTGTTCCGTGTGCTGCGCTGGCTCGCCAGATGCAGCTTGTCACGCTGGCCACGTGACCCGGAAGTGTCTGCGGACAGCGCTGGCTCCCGGCCTATAGAGTGAGATGAGCGCACAACCCTAGAGTCTGGCAAGACTGGCCCGTACGGGCAGGGGTACCTTTACCTTTACCTATGTTAGCATCAAGTTCAAATGATTGTTTTCTGTCAGAATGGGATAGTAATGATTCAATGTAGATTTGTAGCTCTTTATAGTAGCATCAAGGGACACAGGTGGCGCTGTGGGTTAAACCACAGAGCCTAGGACTTGCCGGTCAGAAGGTCGGCGGTTCGAATCCCCGTGACAGGGTGAGCTCCCATTGTTTGGTCCCAGCTCCTGCCAACCTAGCAGTTCGAAAGCACAAAGTGCAAGTAGATAAATAGGTACCGCTCCAGCGGGAAGGTAAACGGCATTTCCGTGCGCTGCTCTGGTTCGCCAGAAGCGGCTTAGTCATGCTGGCCACTTGACCCGGAAGCTGTCTGCGGACAAACGCCGGCTCCCTCGGCCAATAAAGCGAGATGAGCGCCGCAACCCCAGAGTCGGTCATGACTGGACCTAATGGTCACGGGTCCCTTTACCTTTAACCTATAGTAGCATCACTTAGTAAAAGTTATACGTTGCTTTTTTTTTTTTTTTACTATATCTTAGTCTTAATGATCATTAATGATAATCTGTAAACCATTTTGAGGGTTTTCTTTTTAACAACCAAGCCATGTTTTAATTTTATGAAATAAATGAAGAAGAAATATGCCAATTGCAGAAAACTTAATATGTCAATTGCAGAATACAATCTCCTTCCTAGATTATCTATGTTGATACTCCACATACTTCTAGACAAGCCCACATAACAAATGCTAAGTCTGAACTGGCCAACTTGGGGTTTACAATTACATGGATTGCACCTTATTTAGCTTGCACAAAATTGTGACTGCTTCGCTTGTAAAATCAATAAACATTTAAAAAACTGGCTTTTGACAAACATCATGTTAACACCTGTACAATAGCCACTGTTACACCTGTATTGAATTAAATATTAGTAGTTCCATTATTGTTGTAAGAATCACCAAGTACATTGTGATGTCAACAGGGCTACTCCTAAACTGCCCTGGGTACTCATATTCATATTTACTACATAGACAAGAATCTGGACATGCTGTCACGAGCTGCTAAGCTTTTAAAATGAGTAACACAGATCAGCTGGCAACTTGATAACCTTTCTTTACTTTCTAACAGTGGGGAAGAAGTGTAACAAAAATATTCTTCCAGGCAAACGTCTTTGCCGATTGTCAAATTCCTTCTTAAAGTAAAAAGTGTTGACTGTCAGAGTGTGGTGGAGAGTATGGAGGACCATTTCAAAACAGTTAACCTCCTATACAGACAACATTTCGCATAACGAGAAGCACACAAAAAACCACTCATGGTGTCTATTTTCCTGTAGGTACAAATGCAGTAGGTCAATCAAAGCATCCCACCATGTGCAGGTGTAATGGAGCCAGCTGGTGGGAACATCAAAGAGATCATCCAAAGAGGCTGTCTTTTATATTTTCCTTTAAAATCAACGGAGCCACTCTGGGACCCTAAAGAGGTGGGATGAACAAAACAAACCACACACACAGGCTCCACTTTAGGGGGGTGGGGGAGGGGGGCGAAATACGTAGCAAACTGCACGACGAAGCAGCTCCGCTTGACAACCGGTGACAAGGAAGGACGGCGCCAAGAACAGAAAGGGGAAGAAGAGCTCCCCGCCAAGGCCGCAGCATCCTTGGCAAGGCGGCTCCCATTTCCCACGGAGCAGCTCGTCTCGCTTACCCTTTTGCAAAACAGCAGCTGCGCCAGGAGACGCTGACCCAAGCGAAGTCCCGGCTGCTGCTGCGGCGGCGGCGGCAGGTGGCGAAGGGCGCGCTGCCTGCAGAGCGAAGAAGGAGCCGCTTGCCGCACGAGAAGCGGCGGCGCCTGCTGCCGACGACGCTCCCGCCCTCTTGCAGGCCGGCGGCTGAGGCGCAGGCAGCCGTGCAACAGGTAAAGCGCCCGCCTCAGCCGCCGCCTGAGCCTGGGAAGCGGGAGCTGAGCTTGGGCACAAAGCATCCCCTGAGGGCAGCTGCTCTGCCGAGCCCCTCCTCCTGGGGAGACACCTACCGTCGTATCCCTGGCAGCGGCCGCGACAGGGATGGGCAGCAGCGCGCGGGCCTGGCCGGCCTCGCCGCTCCGTCCCTTCTGCTGAGGTGACGGCCGACGCTCGTAGAAGCGCTGGCAGACGAACCAGGCGAGCGCCCCGCCGGTAGCGCCCGCCGCCGCCGCGGCGCCCAAGCTGCTCAGCGGCGCCGCGCTGCTGCCCGGCGGCCGGGCCCTGATACCCCACAGCCGCCTTCGGTGAGGCAGCTCCGAGTCGTTGCCGTTGGGGAGGCGGCAGCGACGCCACCTCAGGAGACTCCGCAGCGCTGCCATAACTGCCGGCCCCGCGGACTTGACAGAGAAGAGCGAAGCCGCCGCCGTCGTTGCTGCGGCGCCGCCGCCGGGGAAGCCTCGCGAGAGGCTCTCGCGTGCGCGAGTGTTTTTCCCCCCCGAATCCCCGTTATTGCTCCGCCCCTCTCGCTCCCCTCCCTCAGGTCTCACTGCCCTTCCTTCAGACTAATTACTCGCCTCAGGCCACGATACGTACAGTGATCAGTCCCTTTTCCCTCCACAATTGCTGGTCTTGAAGGGACCGGCAGGTGCAGGCAGCCCTAGACGTGTCTACTCAGAAGTAACCCGCACTGACTTTGAATTAAAGGGACAGCTGTGGGATTTAGGGTACAAACGGAGGAAGCGGGGCTTCTGCGCCTTTAATAGCTGGGCAGAAGAGGGAATGTCAGCAGGTGCAACGACACACCCGCTGAGATTTCTTATTCTGAACAATTGTTAAGGGCACAGGAGCCCTGTTCTCTTTTTCACTTGGTCACCCTAACAGGACTGTAGTGTGTTCCCAAACCTCGGTCTCCAGTGGTTTTTCCCCATGCTACAATTCCCATCATCCCTGACCACTAGTCTTACTAGCTAGGGATGATGGGAGTTGTAGTCCGAAAACCCCCCAGCTGGCAACCCAAGTTTAGGCAACATTGTTTTAGAAGAAGTAATATTGGAAACAATGCAGATTATAAATTCTTCAGGTCGTGTTCAATCACCAGCCACATATGTCCTCCCTATTCTCTTTCTATAGAGTGTGTGTTAATTTTTCAGACCCAATTAAGAACTGCAGGGTTGGTTGATTTGTTCCAGCCAAGGTGATCCATTCAGTGCAGTGCTGCTGCCAGATGCCTCTGGAAAGATCATATAGGATTTAATGGTGATATTCACCTTCTGCTGTTCACTCTATCATCTAATAATCAGAAGTACATTCTCCCAAACATGGAGGCTCCATCTGCCTATGATAGCTAAGAGCTGTTAGGAAAAACTGCTCATAAATCCGTCACCTTGCAATATTGGGAAGGTTTCTTATTAGCAGTTTTCCCCTTGTTGCCTAATGTTAAAATTTTCAAACTGACTTGGAGTACGAGATTTACATTTATCACTTCCAAACATGTATGAATCAACAGATAGCTGTGCTGCTTCTGTTTCCTTGAAGTTTGAGTCTTCAGTCGAGAAGTTAATGAATTCAGTAGCACCTGCAGGCTAATCTTTTCAATTGGGGAAAAATGCACATCTGTATCTACTTATGTCTGAATATGCTCCTCAGACCCTCCCACTGAGATGTTTGTTTAAGAACATAAGTTCATTTTAATCACATAATATTTTCAATCAAGTTGGAATTTTATACTATTACGTGCCTAATGCACATCTCATAAATGAATAAAGCAAAGGTTCAAGTGCCATTGTTGGAAACTTCATTGGACAACTACTGAACAGGCTTTCTAATGCATCTTATATAAACAAAATTTTATTCAGACTAAGTAAACAATGAGATAAAAAAGCATATATAACAATAAATATATACCCACTGGGAATAGAAGTAGATGATAAAAGGGAAACTTGGGGGGTCGGACCCTAGAACTTAGCAAGGCTGAAAAAGGTTGTCTGTCTAGAAGGCTGTTTTTGGCTTGGTGCTGGTTTGCTTTATGTGCATATTGCAGTGTTTCACTGATGAATCTATGAGCTTTCAGTCAGGACCTCAAGTAAGTGTTGGATTTGTGTTTTCTTTAAATCTGAATTTTTATTGAAAGTTTTCAACATATAATACAATAAAAACCAAACTAATGCAAATAAAAATAGAGAAGAAATTATCACTTGATTTGCTTTGAACTTTCTCTCCATAAGCCACTGGGATGATGGCATATCCTTGCTATAGCCAACATGGGTTGACTGAAGAAGTCAATGTAGCTAGATGAACGAACACATAGAGAGACAAACAGATCCACAACTGCCACTACTGGACACTGCATTTTCTTACTAAAAAATGGCTTAGCCTGGGTGTAGATGTGTATGATTTTAGTGGCGACACTGCTGTAGATACAGTGAGCTGCCTCCTGCTGGTATCTTCAGCCCACAGCACATGATGATCCTCTTATCCTTGGGTCCTGAAGCTGTTTGCCTACACACCCATACTCACTTGTCCTTCCTGGTAGTGCTGTGATCTCATGTGCTTTTCCATACAACATTTTACTGCACAGGCAGTAAAATTTAGTTTAGTTCCAAAGCAGTGAAAGTCCCTAAATTATTGCTATAGGAACTCAAGAGTGGCTTGTAAGAATCATGTGGTCTGAGCTGGGAGCAAAGGCTTGATTACCGAATCCCTCCCAAGGTGAGCTAAGCCTTTCAGGACAGCTTATTCTATGACAGTGTTTCTCAAACTTGGGTCCCTAACTGTTGTTGGACTACAACTCCCATCATCCCTGCTAGCTAGAGATGATGGGAGTTGAAGTTCAACAACGGCTGGGGACCCAAGTTTGAGAATCACTGCTCTATTGTATTAACCCCCGCATGATTAATTAGACTTAATCATGTTGGTTATATGAGGCTGGTTACCTCACAAGCAGAACAAGGAAATATCCCATGGGGGTAAAGTAGCACAAAGGGTTAAGGGGTTGGACTAAATGATCCTCAGGGTCCCTTCCAGCTCTACAATTCTATGATTCTTCTGTTGCCTTTCAGATGTCAGGTTTTGATCTTGGCATTGTTGTTGTTTAGTTGTTTAGTCGTGTCCGACTTTGTGACCCCATGGACCAGAGCACGCCAGGCACTCCTGTCTTCCACTGCCTCCCACAATTTGGTCAGACTCATGTTTGTAGCTTCGAGAACACTGTCCAACCATCTCGTCCTCTGTCGTCCCCTCTCTCCTTGTGCCCTCAATCTTTCCCAACATCAGAGTCTTTTCCAGGGAGTCTTCTCTTCTCATGAGTGGCCAAAGTATTGGAGCCTCAGCTTCGAGATCTGTCCTTCCAGTGAGCACTCAGGGCTGATTTCCTTCAGAATGGATAGGTTTGATCTTCTTGCAGTCCATGGGACTCTCAAGAGTCTCCTCCAGCACCATACGTCAAAAGCATCAATTCTTCGGCGATCAGCCTTCATTATGGTCAGCTCTCACTTCCATGATCTTGGCATAGGTGCACCCATACACTCTAGTAACACCAAATTTACTACCTATTATCCTAAGAAACTGTCACCACTTTTTTATCCCATTGAGATCATGGACATAATTTTGATGGGGTGTGACACTGTCACAGCCCTAAGCATCTCAGCTATCACTCCATATTTAAGGAGCTTCTTTTCCAAGGAAGTCTATTAAAACGATTTTCTTTCTGCACTGAAAAAGGCAGCAAAAAGTCTTTGAAACAATATGCTGTTTTTAGCAAGTGTCCACGTACTACATTGTCTATTGCAAACCATAATACTTACTTGTTTTGGGAGTTTAAAAAACCAAACCTGGATCACCTATATATTTATTCAATAGCATTGAAAGTGCTGCTCTAGGAAGTAAAGGGGAAACGATTAGATTGTAGAGTATACTTAAAGTAGAGTAAGGAGTTCTTGCAAAAACACTCTTCAAATATATTTAACTTCCCAAGATAGCAAGACAGAATGAGCAAAAATATACATACATATTGGAGTTATCGCTTCCCGTCACATGACTAGTGCAAACGGCAAGGTGAAAATAAGGCCCTTATCGTGTTTTCCCCAGTACTTGATAAAATGGCATAACTGCTTCCAGACTCAAGACATGAAAGGCTACGCTTGAAAGAGGTCAGTTTGTTTAGTATTTCACTTTCACTGCTATTCTCACCCTCTTCATATTTATTTTAAGAGCATTATATTGTGCTTTCAATAAATCTGATACCTTTAGAAAAATTATTGGTGTGGGTTAATTGCCTCGCTGTGATATTCTATTGTTTGCTATCCAATGGGAAGGTTGGATTTCCTAATCCCTCTGCTTTTTCCAACCTTGTGATTCTGGCCAAATTTCTTACTAAGGCAGGAGAAGTATAGGCAAGGTTCAGATTAGCCCAGATTATACCCATGTCGGTCTTATTTTTAAAGACTATTGAGCTGGAGCAAATCAGGGGGCCTGTCTCCTGATGCTATATCATCTATTACACACATAATCCTGCAAACTGGCTGGTTTTCCATTCGTGTTCCAGGCTCAACTGAAATTTCTAGTTTTGACTTAATGCTCTATTTGCCCCAGTGTCAGTAAAAGACTGCCTCCCTACATATATCCCATCATAATCTCTTATAAACTAGCAAAAATGTACTCTTCTGCATCTCACCAATTTGAGCATCAGAGGAATGGTTCCTTCTCACCACTATAGAATCACCATTCCTCAACTCTTATGAAGAACTCAGCCTGAGCTTCTCTTGGAAATCTTAAGATTATTCTTTTTGAAGTGGTGTGAAGCTCAAGGATATGTTTTATGGAATCTGTTTTCTAACTGGACAGTGTGTATGTTCTCTGTCTAGAAATGGGCTGGGCTAGAAGTATGAATGAAGAAATGAATAAATGAAATGATTAAACCAAATCTTAGATTAGGATGATCATCACCATCACAGTGCCATCCATGTACGTCTGTAGCAGACGAGGAAGACAGCCCCTGTGCCAGGAGGCTTCTGGTCTAAATATATGATCTTAAGGCACATATGACACCCAGGGGTGGCTGTGGGCAGGGTTCCTGCATTGCAGGGGTTGGACTAGATGACCCTTGAGGTCCTTTCCAACTATAACTGTATGGTATATGAGATGATAATGATTCTATGATACTTCACAGTTACCTTGCTAAAAGCTAAGCCAATGCATGTCTGGTCAGTGCATGGATAGAAGACTGCTTTGAAACTGAAATCATGTCTTCCATTAAGTTGTGAACTACCCTGAGATCTATGGAAATAGGGTGGTATAAAAATCTAGTAATAATAAAATTAATAAAGAAACAAAATAAATAAAAAACTTCTTTTGTTGTTGTTTAGTTGTTTAGTCGTGTCCGACTCTTCATGACCCCATGGACCAGAGCACGCCAGGCACTCCTGTCTTCCACTGCCTCCCGCAGCTTGGTCAGACTCATGCTGGTAGCT